TGTGGATGAAAATGAAGGAGCATTATAATTGATTTTGGGCCTCAAGCTGATATATTACACCATTCTCTCTGTCTGGCCCAATCATATTTTCTATAATGAGGTGTTGAAATACACAATGTTCAGTAAGTGATTTTATAATTTTGATCTTTGGTAATTTTATGAATTGATAAAATATTACTAGCGAGTTAAGGAACGTGTAATATGTTACTAAGGGTAAAAGTTAAAAAATTAATATATTTTCTTATCCCACAATAATTATTATAGAACCATCTACCACTTTTATTTTTCGAGTAGTGGGACAGGATTCATAGGTTTGAAAAATGTTAATAAGGTTTGTCATGTGATCGATGGCAGGATCTATGAGCCAGGTTTGGAAATAGGTATTTGAGTGAAACCTTAAATTTGGAAGTCATATCATTTTGAGTAAGAGAGCATGATTGAGGTGACTTTTCCAGAGAATTGAGAAGATTTCTTAGTTTATCAATTTCTTCCAAGTTAAGTCCATCTATCTCCACAAGGCAGACTTATCATTTTTTCTTTTCATCATAGCTTGGAACTTTTCATGAAGTTTCTAGCATTTCTCTTTGATATGCTATTTTCTCTTACAAAAGTTATACCAAAACTTGAAGGTATGCTTTTATCCTTTGGGAGAGGAATTTATGACAGCAAATACCTTACCCTAGGCCTTATTGGTTGTCGTGGCAGATTTTTTAAAACTAGATTATTAAAATTTACTTTCTGTTTCCTTCTTCAGCTCATGTAAAATAAAAATCTAATTTAGAGTAAAGAGATTTTCTCTATTCTCTACTTTAGATTTAGCCTCGAAACTTGATCAAAGTTATTACCAAGTCCAACAAGAAACATAAACACTATTGTTTTTCACAAAAAGTTTAAGGATTATTAAATCATGAAAACACGTCATGTTGGGATCTTGATAATGATCTACTTCAAGCTAATAAACTTTCATGGCATTAAAATATTCAATGACGGAAAGGTTACATTGCCTGGTGGTGAAAAGTTCCATTTTCATCACGTAAAAAAATAAATCACCTTTAACTTTTGAGCAAGTTTTTTTAATAACATCCCAAATTTTTTTTAGTGGATACGGACATGAACAACCCACTGATTTCTGGCATTAATCTCGTAGACAGGACAACATCTTTAACTTTTGAATCAATTTGTTGACGACAACCCAACAATTTTTATGATGGAAGGAACATATATGCCCCATTGATTTATAACATCATGATTATGAAATATCTTTCTTCCCAAAGTATGAATTTCAAGTCTTTTAACTCCGGAGGTAGATCTACAAAATGTTGGATCTCTCTCATTTATTTCAAAAAGATCTTCACGACTTGGGAGCACTTCAGATAATTTCTATTCAAATGATAAGAGACTTGAAGTCTTTGGTGTTTTCCTTTAGTTTGATTGTCATAATTCATAACGATTGACTCCTTAGAAGGAAAGTTAAGAAGACTGTAACAAAGAGAAGAAAGTGCTCTAACGAGAAAGGGATTGGAGAAAGATTAGATAGAACAAAAAATGGAAATAAAAAACCCTAGCTCGCTTTGATATAATGTGAAAAAAGAAGTCGTTGGGAAAACTTGGAGTGCTCATTCTTTCAAGGAGTATTTATGTACAGAATTGTACATAAAAGATATAATAAATAATTACAATAACAAACATAAAAATTATCTTTAGCTATTTATTGTTAATTATTTAGAGGTTGTTAATTGATGTCAAGGGAGCAATCCACATGTTCTTTCTTTCTTTCATTTTTTATATTAATATGACGAAATAATATTTCCTTCTAAGCAATGGATTCTTAGCCTCTAATTTTCCTACATAGCATTTCTTGTTCTAAGCAATGGTCATTTACTACATAATTTTTCTCGTTCCATTCGATAGTTCAAATAATATGCAACTCCAAACTCGAGGAATATTTGGGAAACATATGGTATGCAAAATATGGGACATAAACACAAATCCCTAATTACACACGCGCACACGCATGTAGACACCACATAACAACAACTATCATCTAATCATCTTTGTCTTACCATTTTCCATTACTTGGTTATTGTTCATTGTTCTTTGAGGTTTGTGTGTGTGTGTGTATATATATATATATATATATATATTAAGAAAACCCAATGACTAATATATTAAAAAGAAAGTAGGATACAAATAGATTGTGCCGAAGGGCCCAACCATGGCACCCTGCCCACTCGATGCCACTATATGCAAATGGTTCCAAAAAGAGAAAATACGAAAAAATACATGAGAGACCTAAAGAAAATAAAGCCAAAAAGTGTCAAAATCCGGATTATCAGGTAACTAAAGAGCAACCAAATTTTACCTTGTCTCTGCCTCTAGTTCTAGGGAATGAGCCAGTCAATAAATTGGTGAGATGGGTGTCATTGTCAGTAGTAACCAATCTATCATCCAATAAATTCCCGAGCTCGAGTCTGCCTCCATTCTTCTTCTTCCTCCTGGAATAGACTTGTCATTTTTCATCTGAAGATTGGCTCGTCTGGTCGGTGTATTGGTCTACAGTGTGTCGAATAAGTGTAGGTTGTTGAACATTAGAAGCAACTACTTGTTGTACAAGTTGATCTTTTATCGAATCAGGGGAGCGGGAGCATTCTCGTGTGTCCTGACATGTAAGTGGGCCTTCTTCAAAAACAATGAGTGATATAAACACATTTGGATTTATACCTGTAGTATGATGTTCTTCATTAGGAACCGCGGTGTCGGCAAGGAGGGATTCATATCAAATATTGTCTTGTGGAAACTTCCTCCACAGATTGAGCAGATGTGCCCATAGCAATGGGGAACATAGCAATGGGGTTAGACCCCTCTTTGTTTGCTTGAGCTTTAGCTTTCACATTTGGATGAAGCCTGTGACATTTATCAAGTGTATGCCCAAACATCTTACAATGAGTACAATAAAAAGGTTTACGTTCCATGACAATTGATTGTCAATATCCATTATGAGTTGTGCCCAGCCAGACTTAAGTAATATCAGGTAAGGTAATATCTCTTTCCACAAGTATTCTGACCACAGAAGTCCTGGTTAGGTTAAAGGTGGGCATATCTAGCTTCATAAGATCTTCAAGAATGACTCCAATAGAATAACGAACCTGATGATTAAGGAAATGCAACTTGAGACCAGGTAAACTAATCCATACCGAAACAATAGGAGACTCATGATTTGGGTCAAAATCATGAGACCACTTGAGTAACTTGATTGACTTGCCTGCAATGTTGAGATATTTTTAGAGAAAATTCGAGCACAGTCTTCCGCTAGGTTTAACTGAATCAACACATGTCTCACTTTCCACTTGCCTATAAATTTGAGATCGTCAAAACTCTTTCTGACAACTTCCATAGGTGAGTGCCCCCACTGAAATTTCCCAAGAAGAGGGAACTTGAATTTCTCAGTTATGGTTGAAACTTCTGAGTCAGAGAAAAATAGTGATGTTTACTCACTCTTCCTGCTTATCTTCTTAAGAACAATCGCTCGTACCCTCACAACATTCATTGTAGTTTGAGGGGAAGACAATAGTAGATTACACAAAATGATTACCCACCATGTGGACGAAAGAAGCTTTGTCAGGATCAACCGAAGAAGAAGGAAGCGCCTATCTGATGCAGCGCGACGATGCACGTCAGGTCGAGGAAACATGTGTGGGACGGAAGAAAGGCGTGTACTGGTCGAAACAACAGAAACACAAGCAGCACAGGTCGTAGCTCGATCGACCCAACACCGACCACGAAGCAGACACAGCACGATCACGATCGGCCCTACAACACAGGTGCAGCACGAACACGATCTTGATCGGCTGTGAAACAGACGACGGAACAGATCCCCTTCTTCTACGAGCGTGGAATACAGGTAGCAGAGGCTAGGGTTTCGCCGTGAGCCTCGATCCTCATCCTATATATAT